AAAAAAAAAAAAAAAAAGAAAAAGAAAAAGACTTCAAATATATATTGTATGATATTTACAAATAAAATACCTTCTTCAGAGAAAATGACCTTCTGTTGGACACTGGTGGCTTCTAGAAGAAAAAAGCACACATCAAATATTAAACATATAACATCAAAAGCTAAAGCTTAGGAATAAACATAAGAGCATATAGTTTAGGAAAATGAACATAATGACACATTAAAAAAATTATTTTTCTGTTAAATCACTAAGAATCTACCATTTTCTTCTAGGCTGCTTTAGAAATAAGTCTGATATACACTAGAATAAGAAATGAAGAGTTTGGCCAGGCATGGTGGCTCATGCCTATAATCCCAGCACTTTAGGAGGCTTGAGGCAGGTGGATTACTTGAGGTCAGGAGTTCGAGACCAGCCTGGCCAACATGGTGAAAGCCTGTCTCTACTAAAAATACAAAAATCAGCCAGGCGTGGTGGCTGTAATCCCAGCTACTCGGGAGGCTGAGGCAGGAGAATGGTTTGAACCTAGGAAGCAGAGATTGCAGTTGAGATTGTACCACTGCACTCCAGCCTGCACAAAAGAGCAAGACTCCATCTCAACAACAAAAAAGAAATGAAGTGTTTAATTTTCCTTCAGTCACAGGTCTATTTTTACTCTAAAATGTAACCTTTATAGGAAGAAAACATTAAATTCTACATTGACAAATATTCTAGTGTGTATAAGTTTACTATATTCTCATTCTCTGACTTGCCAAATCCCCTATACTCTCTTTAAAAACACACTACAGACCGGGCGCCATGACTCATGCCTGTAATCCCAGCACTTTGGGAGGCTGGGGCAGGTGGATCACAAGGTCAAGAGGTCAAGACCAGCCAGCCTGGCCAAGATGGTGAAACCCTGTCTCTACTAAAAATACAAAAAAATTAGCCAGGTGTGGTGGCAGGCACCTGCAATCCCAGCTACTCGGCTGAGGCAGAGAATTGCTTGAACCAGGCAGGCGGAGCTTGCAGTGAGCTGAGATTGTGCCACTGCACTCCAGCCTGGGTGACAGAGCCAGACTCTGTCTCAAA